GGAAAATATTGAAAAGGTGTCATAATTCACAGGTTCGATCTGAGGTTTTTCAGTTTCTTTGTTTTGAAGAAAATGAACAAAAGCTGTTAAAGATGGTGTCACCTTCTGGTGCGATATCTCAGGATTCTTTTTAAAAAAAATCGTTTATTTCAACTCAATACCATAAAATAAAATATACATGCCACATAAAAATAAATAAACTGGAGCAAACACTGTAGCGTTCCTCCAGTTCTACTCTTAACGGAAGCTTAGTCTTTCTGTCTTTATCTAAAAAAAGTTTTTTTTTTGTTTTCTTTCAGTTTTATATTTTGACAGTTTTAAAAAGGAATTTCATCACATAGCTTTTTTTTTAACAAAGGAAGTGAGCTGCAAGTTTTAGCCTCACACAAGTGTCTTTGTGGCTTAAGGAGTCACTGAAACTCCATGCTGACAACTGAGAGAGGCTTCTTATCTTCATCTTGGTCACGATGTTTATCTTCCAAAAAGTTTTRCTATCAAACGTAATATTTATGTCAGCGTTTGACACGCAAACGAGCAGAAACTCCATTTTAAGCGAGTGCTATATATAAAACCCCAGCAGAGCAGTGTGCACACCATTGATTTGAGGTGAAACCTTTATTGCAGCAGAGCACATGTCTGTAGGTTTCTCTTTCCAAAGAAATTCAACTCAGGACGTGAACTGGAAGATGAGCTGATGTTCAGGTGTGAGTAAGAAAGGTTTCTCCCTTTAACTGGTTCACAACAAAAGTTACAATTTTCAAGTCTCCTTCATGTTGACCTGAGGAAAAATCTGAATGATTTTTTCCTACAGTTAACTTAGCACCTGATAGAAAAAAAGACATTTAAATGAAAAGCAACAACAAAGGCCTGACATTCTCTTGAAACAATGTCTACCTCCCATCTCTTACTGGCTGAAAAAGTGCAGCTTGCTTGTAGTAAACCAGTAGATGTACACATGATAAATTTAGGGGAGTTTCACTAAAATATTTCCTTCAGTCACAATATATTATGCTACTGGGACAAAAAACAGACATATGTTTGTATTTGTGTATTTATTAAAACCATGCATTGACCTCCATTCATTTCCAGTCATAACTGTAACCCTGGTCATACACCTAACCAGAGTTGGAAAAGTACAAATATTTCTTTTTACTGTACTTAAGTAGAATTTTTGGGTATCTGTACTTTACTTGAGTAATTATTTTTCAGCCTACTTTTAACTTCTACTTCTTATATTTTCACACAATTATCTGTACTTTCTACGTATTACATTCTTAAAAAAAGGTAAGAAGTAGAAAGTCGTTACTCCTGTTTCATTACAGCTTGTTGATAAAAAATATTATCCTCCTGGATAGAGTGAATTTAATTGTGGTTGGATGAGAAGTATAAATATCATTCTGATCCTTCACAGCTGCAAATAACACAAATTATGTCACACTTCAGCAGAACGTAGCAGATATACTG